ATGGAAAACGGTAAACATTTTCTTTTAAATATAGAGCTTTAAAATTTGTTTGAGAAGCATTTAAACCTGAACAGTATGTATGGTATAAACAACCAGAGCGATTTTTTTTTTCATTATCACTGATTTAACAAATCTATTTTAAAAAACGGTAATATATACATGTATATACCGGTATGTATCTTTAATTAACATGTCAAAAATATGTATCATTACATGTCAAAAACAACAAAAACAATGCTCAAAGAATATGCACATTTACACTTTTCATGGACAAAACAACGATTTTGACATAGACTAATTTAAACATTTTCGTTAATATAATTATTCAAATTGAAGAGCACCTTTAGATTTTTTTTTAATGAAATATTCTCTCGAACATGAAGAAGGTTAAAGAAAACGAACACAGTAATCAATTTAATTTTTAAAAAATTACAAGCAAAACACGAACCCCTGGTAATTCCATTGGCGGAATAAGGTCCCTAAGAAAGATAAGCATCCCCTGTTGAACAGTCACACCCACAGTGAGTCCTATGTATTGATCAAGTAGACGAAACATTCCGTAGTAAAATTTAGTAGGAAAATGTATTCTGTGAATTGGTATGGAACAAGTCAGTCAAAAACTGTTCGTATTTGGATCATGCTCTTGAGTATCGAAAAATGAACACCATATGCAGATCGGAATATTACTATACATACATAAGGAAACGTGATTATGGATGGGGAAAGGATTAAGTCTATTTCTTTTAGTTACAACATTTAGTTGTTAGTTGGGTTTCTTTCGTCCATAGTCTGTAAAACAAGGTGAACAATAGACAAAGTGAAAATAGATACATTTATTTATGTCTCTGGTGAGAACAATTTCTAAGAATTGGTATGAAATAGGTCAGTCAAACTAACACCCAGTGATAGGTCATATAATTTTTAAAAAGCTGGCCTTAAACGAGGACGATGAAATCTCTGTAACAACATCTTTTGTGTTAGTAGCCTGTCAAGGTTTTAAAAATTGATCGTATTTGGAGTATGCTCTTGAGTAGCGAATAAGTTTTGATACATTGAATTAAAATGATAATAAATCCAAAAATCAGTTCATAATTTAATATTCTTTTCAACTGTTTTCCGTAACACTGTTCCGTAGTTTTACCATCCATCCTGAATACGTTTCAAAATCCATCTTCATTCACGTTCGCGAGTGTTCAATAAAAATTTCATTGCATTAGAATAGATTAATGTTCAATATTTCATAAGAACTCACTCTCATTTGAGGAAGGAAGTAATAAATATACATGGTCAACTAGGTAAGATAAAAATAGAAGGGAAATCATGTTTGCTCCATGTTCTAGGGAACTAATTTTCCTTGAAATAATTTTGCATATTTCCAAGAAATAATGTAATATAAGTAACGTTAAGAAATCCGGAAATCATCACAAAGTGAATACACATTTGCCGAAATTCTTTACTAAAGTAACGTATACGTAGACATTCATTTTTACATTTTCTGGCCGTTTTTCTCCATGTCCCATGTAAAAAAAATTACCATTAAAGAAAAATATAAAGCATTCCACTTAGGCAATATTTATTAAGTCAGGTACAAGGCATTAAAAAATGAATTTCATATATTTACTATGTTAAAAAAAGAAAAGCTCATGCCTGATAGATTGCAAAAATACCTATATCAGTAAATGTGAAATATGGTTTAAAAAATTATAATCTAACGTTATATTGCCTGTTTGTTTGGATTTTCAGTTAGTTAGATCATAGACCTATTGAAAGTGGTTCTATTTAGGTTTATGGTTAGATTGTCAAACTTTAAAAATCGTAAAGATAAAATGGACTGTTTATCATTACGTAAACAGTAAAACAGTACTACAATATTTTGAATGGTACGGCTTAAAGTTCTGGACTTACACAAATACTGCAGTTTAAACATAGAATTATTTTTGATCTGTGCAATTGGAACATTCCGGAAAATAATAATCTTTTGTCCAGTGTTGATGTAAAAGTTATGCAAACGTTTCCGTGTCAACCACTTCGTCAGGATACAGCTCTAAACTGCGCAAATTAGAAAACTCATATATGTAATTGATTCAACTCAAACATAAGTATTTTAATCAAACATTTGAATGGCACTAAGGAAATTAGAAAATGGAAAATATTTTGTATTTTCCTAAGAGACTGTTAAATTCATGGCGTGGTAGAAATGTGGGTTTGGCATTATTGGTTATCACATTAAATGCAGAAACAGTTAGTAAGGGAAACTGTGTAAACAATCGGTACGTAGAAGCAGGGTATGTACTAACACTGATAAAATACTTAATTGATTAAAAAATAAAAACTGTCACAAAATTGAATTTCAATGAATATTGAATTTTTTTGAGAAATGTTGGTGTTGATTTTCTTACTTGTTAAAGGAGCTATTTTATTAGGCGTAAATGAATCCTTTTGTGTTAAGCTTAAATTGATGCCTTCAAAAATAAAATAGTTCGATAGTTTAGTTCGCACTATCGTTAAATACAAAAGTTGCATTGCAATATTTATGTTTTAGAGGGGAGTGCTGTACAAACTTCTATCCGAGCAATGGTGAATGTATTGGTAAGAAAGTTCTAAATCTAAACACTTCACTTTTTGCACATTTTAGAAGGTAAATGTAAACAAATATAATTATATCTTCTTTGATGTTTGCCTAAGGTCTTAAATGAAGCTATGAATGCAGATTAATCTCAACATGTATTTTACGTGTTCATCCAAGCATTATAACAACAAATAGAATATACAGCTGTTTTCTGCTTGATTCTAGCGTGTCCCGCTGGATCCTACGGGGACAACTGTTCGACAACCTGCCCTTCCCCGTCTTACGGAGAGAACTGTGGCCACCAGTGTCATTGTAGTTCCTGGGAGGAATGTAGTCCCTTCAAAGGCTGTGTCAAGATAACTACTAGTAAACATTAATATTTTCCCTCACTTTCTATATTAGCATACAAGATAATTATATTCTATATAAAAACAACAAACACATTTTATTCGGAGATGTTTTTAAACAGCCTTGCATAATATCAAGTTTTTGTGATTATAAGGTTATTTTTGCGGCTGATAACATACGTATCTGCATTGCAGTCTGTCTAAAGCCAGTCCCTACTATTTCCTTGGATTTTTCATGTACTAGCTCCTGTATTAACTACTACATATACATTGTATGAACAGGAAAATTTCCCTTTTCATTTTTATTTATTTTCTCGCTCTTCACCCTAGACATAAGTGGGCGAATTTAAAAAAAAAAAAAAAAAGCGAATTCAAAGAAAACAGTTTAATTTCCTAAACAGAGTGGTGACTAGGCTAATCAAAATCGATCTGAGAGAGTGAAAATAACAGGGGGGAAAATAATATTGTATACAGTATCCTGTTCAAAAGAACGGTAGACTGACCATCTTATGTACATGTATCTATATATCTATCACATTTAATACCAGACCGAAAAAAATTTATAAAAATTAAATTTCAAATAGATAATGCCATGCCGAGCTATTTAATGTGATCTATCATAATTTATAATATATTGTATAACAATCAAAATTTCACTATTAATTATATAGAGACACCAAGAACGAGAGCTTTATCAACCACACGGAAAATAGAGAAAAGGACCCATGTTTCATGTTAAGTTATATCATTGTGTCTGGAATTTAGACAAAATTATTCTTATCCAATAAAATCTTGTGAAGAATATTAAAAATTGGAAAAAGAACTAATTAAAACCACTTTTATTGAATTTTACATGCAACTACATTTTCTTCTGCAGTTTTACCAAGAGGAAGATTACAATTCACCAATGAAAATACTGGCAAAAAAGAACATTATACTCAAAGAATGGTTAGTAACTGGATTTACTCACAGACGACAGGTAAGATGCTGTGGCAATGGGGAAGCCTTCACTACATCATGGCATGAAACATGCTTCTATTTAAGCAAAAATATGACTGCACTTAACCATTGTCCCAACATTTATTCTACCAAATATGTATGCGCAGTGGTAAGTTGTGAAGTAAGAAGTTGATCCTTACGTCGCGAGTTCGAATCCCACTGTGGAACGTGGAGACCGGTCCTACAGATGAGACGGTAGTATCTGGGGTCCCGTGGCGAAGTACTTTTCGTTACTGTATTTGTTCTATTTTTTTGTTTTTCTGTGAACATTTTCATATTTTTTTTAACTTAGGAATTCAGCACATTTCAGGAAGTTTTCAAAATTTGATATAAATTTATAGTTCTTTGCATAGAATCTTATATTATATATTTTTTTCGTCTGAATTAGGAAAATATATCAAATAACGAAATTTTTGTAGTATGGTTTTATCCATTAAGTTAAAAAATAATATCATTATTCAATTTTACATGAAGTCCCCATTTAAAAGAATATAGCACCCTGCCTGTGAAGCCCTTCAAACATTTGTAGTTAATTAACCGAGGATTTGCGATCCGCTCCTCTTTTTCCTGGACAGAAGAATAGCGGATTGAAAACTCTCGAAGATGAATGATTTTAAAAGGTACTAAATATTAAAACTCCATACAAGATCCGCGCATGAATCGTGAATAATTTCCGTTCCGTAATGTTTGTATTAGTTTGCAAAGCATATTGAAAGACATTCAAGTTGCCAAATTTTATAAAAATGTAGAAGACAAAGCTAAATGTCTTTCACGGTATACTGTGAATCTGTTTTAAACTTCCGCGTTGGGCTGACATTTGTAAACAATGCATGAGGAAGTATTAATCTACCACTCTACGACGGGAAATCCTGTGAAATCCTGAACTTTGTTAACAGATAATAAGACAAAGCCCTATAAACAGGTATGTCATTTACTTATTTCATTTTTTGTAAATACAGTTCTCTGAAGCGTTCAATGCTACAGCGATAAATAAGGACTTTGAATTACAAACACCAAGTACCTCTAAATATAACTGGCGATGTTCACTGATTCAATGAATCAGGTTTTGTTGCTAACCCGAGTATCGTAAAATTGTGTCGTAATTAAATTTTCACACGTCCTCTAGTACTATCTTCATTTTTGAATAATTAAAATTAAACAAAATTGTATATGATTAATAATTAAATTACTAGCATTTATTCCATAATTACAATGATATAATATTTTAAGAGAATTTCGACTTTCACTCGTACGTGACTAGAATAGCAATCAAGAAATGGATCTATCTCTGACGGGTTTATTATATTTGAATAAACATTCATCTTTAAACTTAGTGGATTCGTATAAATAGGTCATACGAATCAAAAAGAAGACCCCGTTTCTTATCGCACCCCCTTTCTGTTGTAGTAAAGTTAAATAGGGTAATGTGAAAGTGTATTAATAAGATTAGGTTATGAAATATAATGTTTAAAGAACATAACCCCTTCCCACATGAAATAGGATATCCGAAATTTCTTTGGTTGCCCCACTCCACCCTTTCTGAACCAGAGATAAGTACGTGTCTGAGAGGTTAGGAGGCCGAGGAATGTACAAAATATCTTTAGTTAGAAAAAGATATAAAAAGTGACGAGGAATCCAATGTCTGTGTATGGTTTTATATAATACTACCCGGCTGTATTTACTTAGTCATGGTCTATATAGAATATGTTACACATAATTATGACAGTTAAAGTTTGATTATTACTAAGAAAATTATAGCTTTTGTGTACGAACATTAAAAATTATCCTCGTACGTATAGAGCTAGCCTGATACATAAACATCTTCGAATCACAAACCTATAAAAAAAGAAGAAGAAAAGAACAAGCAATCGGTACATGTACTTAACAGTAAAACTAACACATTGAAATACTACATGTAATTATAAAGTAGATGCACATTCTCACAAGTATGTAACAATGGTGTTCATTGAAAGCCCCCCTCCCAATTTGTTGAAGCATAGTCAAGTGAGGGCAATAAAGTAGTGTAAGAGTAGCATTTAGAGCTGAAAGAAGTTAGAACCTAAGAACCCCCCCCCCCCCCCCCAAAAAAAAAAAAAAAAAAATTAGGATTTTCGAGTTTGGGGCAATTTTCTTTTTTTCAGGTAAGTTGATTTTCCCCTGGCTCCCCATTTCAAAAACAATGCTACATCCCTGCTTAAATACAATGTAATTATATTTTCAACTCAAAATTGATTGAATAATTGATATTTTATCCATATTTCGGCGGTAACACAAACTTGAAATTACATTAAACTTTACAATGCATATTAAAAGGACATTTATGTCATCGCCAACGTGAAGCCCATTCTAGATTCTCTATTCGGAATTGAGACCCGTGTCCCACAACGCCACTCAAGGACACCACTATTAACTGTTTATAATAAATCGATTCAGCAAATTAAACCAATGGGTCAGAGATCTACATTTGTGTTTTATGATGGTTCCAGTGCTAGCTAAATTATCTTTTAACTCACCTGAGCTGAAAGCTCAAGTGAGATTTTCTGATCAACCGTTGTCCGTCGTCCGTCCGTCCGGCTGTAAACTTTTCACATTTTATAAGCTTCTTCTCAAGAACTACTTGGCCTTTTTTTAACCAAACTTGGTACAAAACATCCTTGGATTAAGGGGGATTAAAATTATTAAAATGAAGGACCAAGAAGGGGAGATAATCAATAAAAGACGAAAAGAAGATAAATCTTCTCAAGAACCACTGGGCCAGCAAAGCTGAAACTTTTGTGAAAGCATCCTGGAATAGTGTAGATTTTAAATTGTTAAAATTATGGCCCCCGGGAGTATTGCGGGGCCACAATATGGAATCCAATTTTTACATTGAAATATACATATATTGGAAAAATCTTTTAAAATATTCTTCTCAAGACCCCACGGGGCCAGAAAAGCAGAAATTTAAGTGGAGGCATCCTGGGGGAGTGTAGATTATAAATTGTTAAAATCATGACCCCGGGTGTAGGGCGGGGCCACAATAGGTGATATAAGTTTTACATTGAAATATGTAATTAAAATCTTTAAAAATCTTCTTCACAAGAACCACTGGGCCAGAAAAGATGAAACTAATGTAGAGGCATCATGGGGTAGTGTAAATTCTAAACTGTCCAACTTATAACCCGGGCATAGGTATTACAAGGTTGGAAATCTGGTGAAGAGCAACATTTTTAAAGTTTATCAGGTGAGCCTTGTGACCAATGGACCTCTTGTTTAAAGATAAGCTTGTATCATGTTAAAAACAGTTTCTGATAGTAGCTCTCCCCTACTTCTGTCTGCTTTGGTTTAATCCTTCCCGGTTCTTAAATGTACAATGAATTGTGTTAGAAGTTGATAATTCGGGGGGAAATCGTGTCTTACAACGGCTGGTAAGAAACACTCAAGTTTCCTCCTATTTAATATAGAGTTTTTGAGTTATATATGATTATGTACAATGAAGTAAAGAGGCCACTACTTACTGTTGTTAAAAAATTACACTTGTAGACGCTACTTTTTGACATTTATCTCAAATAATGAACTTTTTTCATACTTCCTCAGTGTTTAGTTGAGCGTTTGACCGGTATTCTATTTTATACGGTAGCTTGTTTTTTTTTTTACTTCCTTAGTCTTGTCTTGTTTTTTTTGCCCACAAAATCAAAACTAGTATTATATTTTTCCTCAGATTTGAGATGGCTGCTGTTTATACTGCAGGTGAGTATAAACCAATCTTTGTTGTTGTTGTTTTTGTATACAGAAATGTATATTTATAAGTAGTAAGTTTATCGAAAACATTTGATTAAATAAATTGTTAGAGAAGTGTAATACTGCATACACTTGTTTCTTTACTGTCTTGGTTTCTTCCTTTTTCCAAAAAAAAATAATAATAACAATAATTTATAAATGTTTGATTTAACAAGCATGTGCACTGTATTTTTTTGTAGATATTCTGAGTATGGTCTTGAACAGCTCTGAATAAACCCCCTTTCTGTCATCTATAACAAAACGGTCTTGTTCTTCAAATTCCCCTTTTAAAACCATTTAGCAATGTCCTGTATAATTTGTCAAGTATTTAATGCTGTACCATTTTACCTTATTAAATACAAAGATTTTAGGATAGAATTTCATAACAATTATTAAGCCAGCAATGGTTATGGTTCCCTCAGATCCACCCACGCGCTCTGTTTTGGAGAAGGGGTAGAATGTAAGATATAACGACAAAAAAATTATAGCGTTGACTTGTTTCGATTATCATTTCTTAAATAAATGTCCAATATACAACACGGACATAATTTAAATTTAGTTTTTAAATCTGTCTATTTAAAATGGATGTCGACCAACGTGAAAAAGCTTGCCTATACGACAAATCCAGGAACGTGTATTCTTACTCACGCTAAACGGAAGTGGAGATAATTTAGTACATTCATATCTTAGAAATTTCCTCCAAAGTATCTTTAAATACTCAGTATTTTTTTTATTACACAAATGAATTGTTCTAGGAAAAAATATAACAAGGCTATTACAAACCTGAGGAACATCCTTGTGAGCCTTGTTATTTTTACATTCTTTAAGGGTGAAAAGAAAAGTGATTTAAAATTCTTGTTTAGATCAAATGAATAAATACAGAGATACTGCAAATGTATACTCTAAATTGCCGGAAGGCAAAGCCGTTGCCATGGAGTCATCCGGGTCTTCAGAGGAGGACGGAGAAGAGGCTGACGCCCCACCGCTTCCCAAGCGTAACATGAGAGTCAAATTTCAAGAAGAGCCTCTCCCCAAGAAAGAAAAATCCAAACCAAAACAAAGTAAAGGATTTTATCTATAAAAAATTTCAAGCGATAGTGTCATACAATCATAGTTAATGCCATAACACTTTTTCCAACCTTAAAATGTTAAGGGGTTATTTTTGACAATTTTTAAGAGATTCTATTGTATAATAATTTTATCTTTCAAGAGCGAAGTATATTAAAGTGGAAAGGTAATACATGCCTAGAAGCCTTAACTTTTTTTTATCATTACGCTTCATGCGAGCGTAATACCATGATGCATTTCCTCTAGTTATTTTTCAATTATTAATTTGATTCCTTAAAGATCTTTTTTTAAAAATAAAGCAATGCAATAATATTTTTTTAATAAAGGATGCATAATAAGCCTCATGTGTTGACGAATTTTATTCTTTTTAATCATTGCAAATCTTTAATATCTGTTTCTTAACAATTTTACTCAAACAAAAAAGCTTGCTTGAAATCTACTAACCAATCATTATACTAGTTTGTCATTTACATCCTAATATACATAATAAAAGCAAAAGCTTTTTAATTCTTACATGTAAATTTAGTCAAAGAAATATTTCAGAATCAAATGGAGATTTTCGCGAATACTTGCTTGCTAATGGGTTGAATGAGGCGACAGTGCAGAAATTACTGGATGAAGAAATTGAAGATTTTCAAACTTTAAAAATACTAAGCGAGGAGGACATTGAAAAGTTAGACCTAAAGACCGGACAAAAGGCAAGGGTACGAAGCTTGACCAGAGGTCAAGAAAGTTCAACAGAACACCGACTGTCTGATAGGCAAAATCCTGTTAAGGTTAAAGGTCGAAGTTCAGATCAAGAGGAAAAAGAGCCACGATTTGTTAAGTGTTCTCAAGGTGAACGCTTTCCTGTCAAGAAATTATCCACAGACTCAAGAACCAAAACGAAAGTTCAAGTGACGAAAAACACCACTGGGCTGGTATATGTCTCTTCTTCTTCTTCTTCCGGTAAGTTATTTGCGCATGCCCACGTTCATTTATAATATATTTCTTTGATAGTCCACCCAAAAAGTTTTTTTTTTCAACGAACTTGGGAATTTTTAACATAAAAATCTTTTTTGTTTAACAGCATTTATCTGTGTTGTAAGTAAACGCCCGGTGATCTACGTAAAAATCATTTGGCTGCTCAGTTGTTTGTATCACATTCGATACATGTAATCATACAATAATAAAAATATTATTAAACTATACGGTTAAGATAAGTATATCATATTAAATTTAACCGCTTGTGTACCTGCTTTTCCAATCCAAATGTATAGAGACACTCACAGAAGCTTAAACTCTATAAAGTTGTCACAAAATTCTATTGCTCTATTCTGCAAAGCCTAATCATCTTATGTTAGAGATACATTCCTTATCATTAGCAACATTAAAATTCTTTCACAGCAAACATTTGTCATCAATTTCACTTAATATGATTTTTTTAAAAATAATTTCTGAGAATGTTAAATTTAAATACACAAAGTAAAGAGTTTGTCGTACAAATTGATGATAAAATATTAAGACAATCTAAAAAAAACCCTGATTTCACTTAGGGTCTGATGAGGACACGAAAGGAGAGGTCCGTATGAAGCGGGACACACTTCGGGGGGATAGCGTGAGGGTGGCAAACAAAGGGGAGAGGGACGTGGACCTGACTTACAAGGTGCTGCAGACAGACGAAAAGGTAGGGATTTATAATATATAGAAATACCGTATTGCCGAAGCGAATTTCATAGCAACAATGATATATCATGTTAAAGAAAAAACAAAATATCATGTTTATTTCTTAAACTGCAGGGAAAAGTCGTGATGGAGCTTTCTACAAGACAAGACACGGAGATACATTGCGTCAAAGCTAGGATTCTGATTTTGGTTGATATAAGCGGGAGTATGGGAATAAAGTACGATAAAAGACGTAAACACAGCAAGCTTTCACGAATGAAGAAGTTTGCCATTGAACTGGTGGATTCTCTGGACGATGGAGATTTCGCCTCTGTTGTCACTTTTGGCGAAAAAACTCAAGTTTTGGTGCCTCTGCAGGAAATCAATAGAAAAACTCGAGTAAGCAGTACTCTACATTTTAAGAGAATTACATTTCATACCATCTTATATTAAGCTGTCTATAAAAAAAACAATAATCAAAATATATATTTTAGAGAGAATTAAAGACTGTTTTGGAGACATTAGACAAGACATACCTCTCAACAAAGACAAATCTTAGTGCTGGTCTCTCAAGGGCTATCGACATATTTAGTGAAAAGGCCAGAGGGTAAAAGAACTTCAAGATCGATCTCACATGTCATGTGAACATAAATTTTATTTAGTTTTCATAAATTTTAATGTCAATGCGCTTTTCATTTTTAAAAAAAAATAGTTTTATGAAAGTAAGTTGAAATTTTCTCTAAATGTGACTTTTAACTAAAAACTCTTCAGAGGACTAGTGGAAAGCTCATTTCTAACCCTTAACTGATAAAAAAGTCTTTAAAAATATGTTTGCCTTTCAGACCCGAAGATCTACTGATGTATAGAAACTCCATTATTGTTTTCTCTGATGGTGAAATAAACGAAGGCACGAAAGAGCCAAACAAACTGGTTCATGAAGTTAGAGAGAAAATTCGAAAAAACGCGTTTGATTTGGACGACTCACAGAATCAATGGGTTAGCATCTCCACCATAGCTACCGGAAATGATATATCGGAGGCAATGTACCTACTGTCAAAATGCTGCAGCAGCGATGCCTTCTACCATCTAGATGTCCAGAAGTCCGAGATGGATGACCCTGACCTTTTTCTTCCGGTCATGCTTCGAAAGACCGCAGTCGTTTGGAATGTTTCTGTAGTAATTGAAGCTGTTAATGGTGCAACCATTATAAATAGTGAAACTTCACAAGACAACAAAGTCCGTTTACGTGGAAGTTCAAGTGGTCGAAACAAATCCGAGAAAGCTTTCTTTTATTACGACATTCCAGCAGCTTCGACGCGCCATATTGGAGTAGCATTAGATTTGAGTAACGTTAGTGATGAACCTAACACTGTTGTGTTGAAAGCGAAGGTCGAGTATACGAAAGCATCGGGAATGAGGATGAAATATTTTGTAGAAATTGCTAGAGGCGAATTTACAGACCAGAAAGAGGGGAGGTCTGATGCTATAAATGCAAATCTGATGCACGATGCAAGACTCATCTCTCAGAATATCCTTCACAAAGCCGCAGAACACGTAAAAACTGGAGACATCGACGCCTCAACTGCACAAATAAAACAGGGACAAAGCGAGTTACAAGCCATGATGGAAAGATATGGTGCTATGGCTGCTGAGGATCCAACGTCTGAAAAAAGCCGCGGGCGTCCCGGGATCGTGTCCACTGCAGATACCTTGATGACGAGCATGCGCGATATGTTGGAAGATGTCACAGAGGAAATGAAACCCGCAGGAGAAACTAATTATGCAGAAAGTATTATGAAAACTATGCAAAACCTGTTAACAGACCTAGAGGAAAGTAAAACACACGATTCCCACGAATCTGACGGGAAAAGCTGGGCAAAGATCAAAGCTGTTTCCTCTGCAATTACTCGCGAGGCACCAACTATGTCCAATGACGTAGACACTGATCTTTTGGCGCCACTTCCGAACATCCGTCATGTATCTGGAAATATACAGCAACAAATGGAGAACCTCCAAAAGAAAAGAGAAGCGCGGAAATCCGCACAGCCTGGTATTCTGCAATAAAACATTGATAGTATTAGGGACATTTCTGTCAAGTCAAGCATTATTCTAAACATTGTTTAGTCTAGATGGCATTTTCAAATTCTTTCAATGTATTTGAGATATAGTTTTTTGATTTGTCGTTCCTTAACCGCGTTCCTTATTAATATATTTATACTACGTGTTTTGGAATTCACCATACAATAGTTTACCAGGGTTTTAGTCAATCATACATGTATGTACTTTCAATAATGTAAACACTGTGCAAGTGTTTTGGAATGTTTTTATTTAATGGGAAACTTCAGTACTTGAACACTTATTTAGATTTTTATTTATTGCATTATTTTTCAGTATTTTTAAATTGTAAATAAGTTTGCATTATATACATTGCATGTACATAGTATTTAATCTTTGAAAAGCTTTGCAAGCGTTGCCTTTTAACCAAGGAATTGAAAGGATTTGCGGGTGTCTAACAGTAATCACTTTGTTTTTGGTCGTTTTGTCCACCCACATCAATGCCCTTGGTAAATGGAGAAATGGACACTCAAATAAGGTGACCTGGATAAGTAGAGATTAAAATGATGAAGCTTGAGGAAGGGAAGTTCAAATCATAGTTCTGGGAAATCAGAGACTCAAAATACCAGTGTGTGCCATGGTTTAAAGGAGATATAAATGAAGTGGGAGATTCTAATGATATTTTCTTTGGAAGAGGGTTCAAATGGAGTGGGGATTCTAAACATGTGATCTCTGGAAAGGAAGTTCAAATGAAGGGGAGATTCTAACCATATGTTCTGGGAAAGGAAGATTCAGATGATGCATTTGGGAAGGGGCGACTTAAAGGCTGTTACACAGGCTTAACGGAAATTAATACTTTGATTTATCTTTGAGAAGAGGAAATTCATAAAGAGGGAAAATCAAATGACCCAGTACTGGAAATGATAAGATTCGGAAAAGGGGGCTCAAACATGATGAACCGTATGGAAGGGAAGACTGTACCGAATCTATATGATGCTTTATTTTGATGAAAAACTAATCTTTAATAGGTGTCTTTGAAATATTTTGTATATATATATCATGTTTATGTTTAACTTTACATTTTCACTTCAATTGTAAATAATTCGTTTGCGGTTAATGAAATTTATTGAATATATTACAAGGAAAGTTTTTTTAAGTTGTAAGAACTTGTAACTAATTCTTTTGTGTGAATTAAAATATGATCAAAACAAACAAGAAAAATTAAAGCTAGGTATAAGAGTTTCTGCCGACCAGCTCCTAACAAAAGCAAGATTAATACTTACACATTATTGTCTCTTCATTTGACTGAAGAGTTTTTTTCTCTTTTCTGTAACAAGTGGGAAACTAAGAACATTGTAATGAATAACACTTGCTGCACATTATATGTAATGTGGAGTATACAAGCTCTTTACACGAGGTAGTAAAATAACACTTACACTTGTACAATATAAGTCGCTTAAATAAGTACATAAACAGTACTGGTATATACTGGTTAATTAAAAAATACCAAAAAAAGAAAAATAATTTCAAAACATACGACTTTTTAACGTTTTATTTAATCATACCCCTTTATAAATGAAATCGGTTTTTAGGGATCACAGACAGCTGTTTTTGTTTACTGGAACTCGTAAATTTACTTTTCTTGTCCTTGGATAATTGCAAAATTATTCCTCAGAAACATTCTGATTGTACTCACAAGTACTTTGTAGTTGATATAAAAAGATACTTAAGATTCTGATTAACGATATCTCTGTAGTTTCAAATATTTTTTAGAGATGGTCTTCCAACAAACTATTGGAATTCCTATGGGTACCAATTATACCCCGTTATCAGCAGACCTATTTTGTACTCATATAAAGCAGCATTCATTCAAAACCTCATACCTCATTTGATGTGGCCCTCAACTACAGATTAGATAACTAGACATTTTAATGATTCACAATTTTTACTTCCATTCATATGTCTACTCGATATACCCTATGTACTCGAAACTAGAGTTAATGTGAGCAATGAGCTCACTAAACGATGCCCCCGCCTCCCATATGAATATAATGGCAGTATCAATGTTTTGCTATGTTAAACTCAAAAAAATATGTGTCGGATCAAAAAGTAAAATAAGAAGTACACAACGGCAATATGTAATTAAGATACTGTGAAAGTCTTATCAAATTTCATTCAGTGGTATGAGTTGTGGATAAGAGATGGCTACCCCAAAGCCTATCAGACGGAGGGACAGACAGACGGGCGGGCGGACATCCCGATTACTATATACCCTTCCACTTTTCAAGTGGAAAATAAAAGAAAAGGTACCACAGAGTCGTAACAATTTTCACCAATTCTTGATTACCTTCCTTTTATAGGTATCTCTTGGAGTCTCTGCTTTCAATAAACTTGAATCCTCTTTACTCAAGGATGCTTTGTGTCAAGTTTGCTCCTAATTGCTCAAGTGCTTCTTGATTATAATAAGAGATCTAAAATGCGAAGTTTTCAAGCAGATGCCAGACAAAATGTGATCGGCTTAGTAATTCGAATGCAAAATAACAAAATGCCGTAATATAAGGCATCTTTTTTAAATTTTCAAAAATTTTCTGAAGGAGATCATACGACTTGTCTTCTTAGTTTTATTAAGTTAGGAATGTATTCAAAAATTGTATGAATTTAAAATATTTGAAATAGAAGGAGGAAACGATGAAGTTTTAATTTATGGAATGAATATAAATTAAAAAAACTATATTTACAAATATAACACACAGTGATTAAATATAAATAAAAAAAAACGTACATCTACATGTAAATATACAAATGCAAATATAAAACAGTGATTTTATACCAAAAATTAAAGCCAAAAAACGAACAAAGTGAAAAAAACAACTAATAACAAATCCTTGGGTCACGACTCTCAACTTAGTAAATATGTCCGTTTGATCTTTTCAGCAGATTTTATGCCTCTCCTTAATCGGAAATTTTGCCCTGTTCATCTGTCTGTTAATCTGTTTGTCTACTTGTCCACAAAAACTTCAATCTTAGCCGTAACTTTTGATTGGTTGGAGCTATGGTTTTAATAATTTTTATGTGCATTCCTCGTAACAACTTTTCTCTTTGGGTTTTTATATATTTGACCTTCATTTAGACTTAAACAAGTTTTCCGTTTGTCCATGCATGACATTTGATTTGGCCAATTTTAAATGCAATAAATTTTAACTCTTGCCATAACTTTCGAAAACTTCGTGCTAGGGTTTTTACATTCCAAATATATTCCTGTTTATATGTCCTTTCCCTGGATGTCAATTTCGACCCTTTGACGTTAGAGCTGACCCACTTTAAAAAAATTGACCTGAGCCCTAACTTATGAACAGTTGGTTCTTGGATATTTCATATTTTACAGGTATACTTATTGATGCAGGTCCTTTCTTTGGAAAGATCGAGCAACGTATATTTATATCTCAACCTTGGTCTTTGAGATTACCTTACATGTGAGAAACTTTTACCTTTGCCATAGGCTGTCATACAGGGACATTAGTGTTTCACAAACACATCTAGTTTCCAATATCTTCTTATATAGAATTAAGAAAATATATTGTGGCTGCACCTTACCCCTTTCCCCAACTTACTCCCAGGTGTCGTTATTTAATTTGAATATGAGGATGTTTCAATATACTTCATGTACATAGCTAATCATTACTGTTCTGAAGAAGAAGTCTTTAAAATAATTTTCCTACTACGTAGTATAAATTCTCATGTATAAGTCTGCTTGGCCATTGTGGTCCCATCCTACATCTTGAGGTTCTGAATTGAACAAATTAGAATCTATACTACCCGACGACGCTTCAATATAAATATAGCTAACCATGGCTTTGCTGTTCATCAGATAAAGATTTAAAAACAAAATCCTCAAGTATTTCTATGGAAAATCTTTGATCGTTCATAGTGATCCTACCTTACCCTCTTGTATCAAACCTTAAAAAATAAAATAAATGTGCACTTTCTTTCTATCTACTGTCAATATACAAATAATAATGAAAATGTTGTTTGTTTTTGAAAAGAAAAAGATTAAAGATTTTTCCTAAGTATTCCTTAAAAAAACGAATGCCCACATTGCTTCACCATACCCTTAGGCATTTTGGTTTGGACAAACAACCAGTCTGGGGATACTTCAATCTAAATATGACTATTCCTGACGTTGCTATTAGAGATTGTTCTATCTGACGTATCCGTATCCGTATACGTATCCGTATCCGTATCGAGGTATGAGAGGCATCTCGATCCCGAAGTCTAAACCATCTGGTTACATTTCCATCGTTTCAAGTTTGGTTTTTAACCTTATTCACTAAGAAATTATATGTAGTGTGATTTTTTTTAGATAAAAAGATATAAGTTGCTGTACACGTCTTATGCATCATGCCTTTTAGGGTGGAGGGGTTATAAAAGTTTAAAAATAAAATTATGAAAACAGGTATGAATTTTTTTTATTTAAATGTGTAGAAAATATTTCTAGATCGAAATCGCTCGCTCTCTCTCTCTCTCTCTCTCTCTCTCTCTCTCTCTCTCTCAATTTTAGGGTATTCATTCTTCATTCTAGCTTGCAATAAAATTAACAAGAACACGACATATCCCCAGTAATATACATGTATTATTATATATACAGTTAAACCTCTTTATCTCAAACTTGTAAATTGTAAATACATGTAGTTGTACATTAACAGGGAAAGGTTTAATCAAAGTGCAAAACAAATGTGTATGGGGGATTCACTGAAAATGTCCATCCTCATTTCCTTTTTTATCATCTTCTATGTCATTCATTATCACATATTTGATGGTCATAGTTCTCCAGAAAATTTTGGATATCTGGTAATTCGCGGGCAGTTTGAATACACTCCTTAAATTGTAGGTCGATTACCGTATCATGGGCGTCGGAAGGAAATAGGAAGGGGAGCTAGTTGAAAGGGGTTGCTAAACCAACAAAAAAAAGATAAACCCCAATTTTAATTGCCTACATATAATGTCTATCTTTGCAAGAAAGAGGGGGATGGCTTAGCCGCCCCTACCCCCCCCCCCTTTCCCGGTTCCGACGCCTATGCATATCCAGGGTTTCAAGGAGCTTGAGAAAAGACTATGTACAAGATCTTAAAGTGCTGCGTTTAAACGCTGTTTATTTTAGACTTGATTAATTAAACACTTGTCGATAAAGGGGGAGGAAATGTTAGGTTATGATGTATCTTCCTCTCTTAAACTATTCTTTTTGCATATTAGCTTCCTTTCATGAAAGTTACATGATGGAGTTTTTAGTAAACAAAGCAAGCTCTGAAAAACTCACCCTTAAATGCTATTGTGTGTGTGTGTGGGGGGGGGGGGGGTATCCCCCCCCCCCCACTTTATTTGCAAAGATGGACATAATATATATTGAGGCGTAGGATAAGCCCCTTCCCCACTCTTAACAGGCATGTTGTATTGCAGTTAACTTAGGCGTCGGAACCGGGGGGCTAGGGGGCGTATCTGCCCCTCCCCCCACTTTTTTATCCAAAGATAGACTTAATATAGACATTTAACATCGCTTAGGTTAAGCCCCCCCCCACTTTCCACAAACATGTTTTAGTTTAGGTTAAATAAATGTGGAAAGTGGTGTTGTTTGGAAAAATATGCTAGTGAAACTAACAACCCCCCCCCCCCCCCCCCCCCCCCGAAATAGGATTTCGTGTTTAGACGGACATTTCCTTTTTTGCATGTCAGTTTTTTTTTTTTTTTGGAAGGAAAAACAAAATTTTTCTTCAATAGCCCCACCCCCCCCCCCCCCCTTATTACAAATTACAATTTGCTTCCGACGCCAATGGTTAAAGTAGGGTAAGTGGGAGTGTTTGAAAAGAAAATTGTAAGGAAAAAAGTTCGACATCCCCCCCCCACACACACACACTAACTCATTCACACAATAGTATTTAAGGATTTTGGACAATGAACAAAAAATATTCCTTTTATCTGCATTTTCAGGGCTGAATTTTTCTCTCTTTCAACTCCCTACAATGTACTTTCAATTTCCTTCCGACGCCAATGTGAGGGGGGTTGAAAAGGAGGGAGCTGAACTGGCTATTCAAAGCATATACTCAGAACTTGTAACGGTCCTGAAGCGAATTATGAAATCAATCTGAAACTCTCTCTAAAACGGCTACAGAGTTTTATTGATCGCGTTGATGATAAGGTATTTTGTATTTCAGTGTGTGTGTGGGGGTATCTATAATGTTATCAGTTACGTGTAATGGTATAGTGAAAAATACAGAATGAATCAATAAAATATCCTGATATTATGACTGAGGAAAAAGAGAAAGGGGATTTTTCAAGAAATATTTGGAAACAAAATGAAATTAATTTTAAACTTGGTGTCATTTTCTTTTCTTTTTTTTTAATCAATATTTTTCTTCGAAATGATAGAAGTTTACAGCAGTTTAGTATTTTTATCAAAAAAAATATCATTTGTTATTTTTCAATGCAAGACTGTGGCTTATTTAAGCAACCATGAACAGAGATGGAATTGTATTGAATGGTTTAGACATCGGGATCGAGATGCCTTTCATATCTCGATACGGATACGGATACGTATACGGATACGGATACGTCAGATAGAACATTCTCTATTATTGACCAAAAAAAAATTAAATATTTTCCCCAGATATTCCTACCTCTTTAAGAAGCAGGTACGGTCTCTTATTTGAACAAACTACACTCATCTTTACCGTAAGAATTTTTTTTGGCAAATTTAGTTTACATTGACAAAGAGATTCTTTCCAAAATCGGAAATATAAAACTTTACAACCGGACAGACATACGCCGGGCAAAAATTGATCAAAAAGCTAACTTGGGCTAATAAAAATAACTCATGATAAAAAAATAATCCATTCTTATATTCATTGGTTCGAGGATTCGGGACTCTTTGTATCCAAAGGTGGAGGTGAATTTCTAATACTCATGGTGGGGACAGGCTTTTCTGGGTAACGCTTGAGGATCTCCGCTTCCTCTGTGCTCTCTTTAATCGTATCCAACTTAAAATTCATTTGAATAGAATTTCTTAGGTCTATAATGCTTTGATGTTTCATTACATGTTTTCCGGAAAGAATCTTGACCGCGGTTGATACTGTTGATAACGTGTTCCATTTAGACGATTTGGTAATATTGACATTCTTTGTCTTCTTCTTTTCCTCTTTTACTGCATCAGCTATTGGTTTCTCAAACTTCTTGATCGGGATTTTTCTGTCCAATTCTTTATTTATGATCTTTGTTGCAGCTACTATATGAGAAATTGTTGACACACGGTGTGTTAACATTCCAAAAAACTGAATAAGAAGCAGTATTCCAAAGACAAGAGTGAAAGCGATGGAGATTGGTTCGATCACACCTTGTGTTTCACCAACACTGCATGGTAGAGGGATTGAAAGTGTTTTCTGATAGGCATTTACTTGAGTGAGAACATAAACAATTGTTACAAAGATGGCATTTGTTATAAAATAAAAGAAAAACACCTTGTTTCTCAGTTCAATTAGTTCAGCTTGCATTTTTGACTTTTCCACAACATTTATCTTCAAAGGTTTTAGATATTTTTTGATAAATTTTCTCCAAAAGTCCTGTTCATCCTCTTGAATGGGATTGCATTTTCTGAATATACCACGTTTTTTGATTTCCTTCGGTCCTGAAGAAAAAATACATTTTTATCTTCTGTATCTTCTACATTTTATCATGACAAAAACACAATGTTCATAAGTTGGATATATGTACCTGACTTTTCCGTTACTTTCGCGCTTTCCTTGGCGTCTTCATTCTTCATGGTCTCGGATCCTTGGATTTTTGAGTTTTTCCCGTTTTCCTCGGCTACTTGCTCTTCCTCCTTAGATTTCTTTTGACTTTTACCACTTTCTTTAGTGTCAGTTTCCTTATTTAGCTGCTTCTCTTCCTCTAATTTCCTTTCTTCTTCAGATACACCAGGTCCGACATCCTCAATTTCGTTAAAACATAAAATACATCTGTATGGAATGAAGAATTACATATATATATATATATAAATAAATCAAAACTGTAATATAATATTTCCAGTGATTTGAATACAAAACCAAAAGAAAGCCCTTTATTCACTTGAAATTATTATCTTTGCATAAATACCTGCACCAGTCCCCAAAAGAGCACGATTGGCCTAGAACTCGCTTCTTTATCTTTTGAGTAGAGGAGTCATCCTTTTTTGCTGTTTTACTTTCACGAGTTCCCCAATTAACATTATGTAGATTGCCAACAGAGTAAAAAATCAAAAGCATAGACATCGATGGTACAGCCAGAAAATAAAGCAGTCCGTGCAGAATGCAGGTAAATTCCTAACATAAAAAGGGCAACATACTAGTATTTAGTTAAACATGCAAAGTGAATGAGAAACATTTAGCACTAAAATCAAAATGTAAAAAAACACTATTGAAATAACTCTCGGGTTCTTTCTGACATGTACGATCTGTCTTGTAAATACTGTATACAGGGTTATTTTCGCCCCGTGTTATTTTCGCCCTTTCACACTGTAAAACAAATTTGCCCCGTTTTAAATTCGCCCAATCGTAGTTTTGTTTAAGAAATTATACTGAATTTTTTAAATTCGCCCCGTTTTAAATTCGCCCTCCTGAGGTGAGGGCCAAAGGGGCGAAAATAAAACGGGGGCGAAAATGTCCCTGTATACAGTATTGATGTACTATGCATTTGACTGTGTTATAATTAGCTTATAAATACCTTTGGGTGTAAGATTGCAGCAATAACAAAGACTCCAGCCACAAAGCAAAAGAAGACAGTTGTAACTGAGCAGAATTGTGCCTCGACACCTTCCTTTAGCAAACCTATCAGAACAACCAACATGACCAAGCTGTAAAGTGTCGACAATATTGCCGCAAACAAAAGCTGTAATATAAATTAATAAGAATTCAAAATAATTATATAACTCGTGAAAGTATAATGTTATGTGGAAAGATTGATGTCGAGAGAGACCTGTTTACCTGCGTTTCCTCTTTGGCGACGTAAATTGAGATTATGAAGATGGCTACAGGAACCCCATTTAATAATAATGCAAGCCATGGTTCAATTTGTGGAAAAGCTGTTATGATGGCACCAAGTATCAACAGAAAAATTGTTCCTGGTGTCAGTATTGAGGAAATAAATAAACAAATGTGGTAAAAAATGTACGGTCTTGATATATTCTGATTCGTTTTCCTGACATTGTTTCCATCCAATAAAAGATCCAAAATGTTTGCCATTGTCGATGGAGCCCAACGTCTTCTCTGGTTATAAAATTCGTAAAATCCTTCCGGGGCAAAGGTCAAAGCATCTGAGGCAGCACAATATTCTACCCTGTACTTTTGTTTCAACAGTAAGGTACATAACCATCTATCTTCACCTGGAACAGAAAGACTTCGTGCAAAATATATAATATATATGCAACCAACTGTAATTTTACACTACTGTAAAGCTAAAAAAATTTCTATGACTCATAAAAACAAAACGTACCTTGGTCGTACTGCACATGATGAGCAGCTTCAGTTGGCACTTTAGTGTAAGTTTTCATAACATTATTTGCAAGTAAAGCTGAACCACGGAACAAACTGAAGCATCCAGGAGAACATAATACACAGCCAAACACATGCTCCGTAGCCTTCTGGAGCCAGTGGCTTACAGCATACTCAAACGTTTGATACCAAACCATAGGGCCTATATAAAAATTATCAAATCATTATTGCGATTATTAAGGAAATTACATTCAGCGTGCAAACTGTTCAGCCCACCCGAATCATTCAGACAGCTTAAGGTATTGCTGTTTTGTCTGATGTCGGCTCCGTCGTGCGTCGGTCGTTATAAAAAATTGGAACATTTTCTGCTTCTTCTGTTAAATAACTGAACTGATGAACCAGCGCCAAGCATAATATTTAAAAGCATTTGTCTTCCTGATGGCCAGCTATGAGTTTTAAAAAAAATGCGATTTGTAGAATCTGTCTACTCCTTTTGCAATTGGCGTCTTTTTAACTATAAGATATTCCATTTATCTCATTGTGCGAATAATACTATTAATGATTCTTCCTTCTCAATTTATAGAACAATTTCAAAGAGTCAAAAAGGATTCAAAAGTATTTATTAAATATTGATTTCTTCTAAATGGGATAAGTCTAAATATGAAAGTAATTGATGAAATATTTTGGAGTCGGGTGTTTTTTAATGTTTGTTAAAATTGTACTTTTTAAAAAAGCATATAAGTTACCTAAAATTCTAATAACTTTCTTTCGTAGATACATACATTAGATGAATGAAAAGGAACAAGAAAAGGAATTGTTAACTTTTTTGTACACATTTTTTGTTAATCAGTGACAGTTTCTCCAATTGTTTAAATATGTAAATGAAAACTTATGGTTGAAAAGGTGAATCTTGGGCTCCCAAACTTGAAACGATTGACTGAACTTTATACATTGTTAAGACAATAAATAAGTATATTATTCAAAAATGAAAGTCCGATTTCAGCAACAAGTTTAGCAGACATATTGCATCTGGGGGGCCAGAAGGGGCCTGTCCCACCCTCTTTTTCTCTAACATTACTTTTCATTATTGGAAATGTTCAATGAGAGGCAGATTCCCATCCTTTTTTGGTACATAGAGTGTATTAATTAAGGGTCAAGTATGTGAAAGAACTGAAAAAGCTTGGAATTTATACCTTGTTCTACGAGTTTTGACCATTTTTTTTTTTTTGGCTTTTCAAATTTGTTCAGCCTTTTACTCTGGCTAGCACTGCCACTAGTACTTTCATAAACGATGCTACCTACGTCCCGGTTTGGTAATCTATAACGTGTTATATCTCACCGGAACCTATGGGATGAATACGGCCACAAGCAGCCCCAACCAATGGATTCTTTTTCATGCGATCAAGCAGAAGTGATACTGCCTCCGGTTTAAAATCAACATCCCCATCCAATGCTAGTATAAATGTATTGTTAGTAAAGCTCTTCATTATTTCCTCTAAGTCTCCACCACTGTTTTCCAGTTTCTCCTTTTCATTTTCTTTAGTCTCATTCATTTTAAATGATAGAAGATAGAAAAGGTACATCACCTTCAATTCAAAACAAAAATGAAATAAAAAATAATAATAAGTAGGTTACATGGCATATTTTGCAATTTACGATGAATTGTTCACAATATGAACTAGAAATAAGGTGGCTGAAGATAGAGAACAGTAATTGATTTAAAACTTTCAAATATTAAAAAACTTCCAGGAGAGCATAAAATATGGATCCCTGGCAAATCCAGAAGTCGGACCAGGTGTCAATAAAGGGTAATAACCCTTGTCAATCAGTAACATCCGTCGTCGACCCTGTTTATTTGTTTGTTGATTAGCTTTCCTCTTAAGAATTTTTCAGTCAATTAGAGACGCCATCTCTTGTCAGTGGAGGACTGCAATTTTTTTTCTATACTCAGCACGCAGCCCATTTAGCAGTGATGGATGCTTATCGTCAGAACACATACTGCAAAAGTTGACCTTGGTATCGAACCCGCGATGTAAGGATCAGCTCTTTACTCCTCGATTTTAAGGCAGATGTTCTGACAACTGCGTCACGACGAGGGCCCATACATTAATTATTTCCACTGAATAATCATAAGTAAGATTTGGTATGAAACAAAGGTTAAGGTACGACCCATGACGGTTTTTTATGTGTAATGTGCCATACATTTTAGTTGTTGGTTGATGATTACAGTCTATGGTTATTCTAGTTTGTCGGACATTTTAGATACTAGTTGGCCATCAGAATCTATAGTTAGTAAAACTCGTTTAAAGTCAGTATTTTGTAAATTCTATTGTTGTTATATATACCCTATTAGCAAATATAACCAATAGCCGGTGTAAAGACGAATAATGACCCCCATCGAATAATGACCGGGGGTCATTTTTCGACAGCGAAAAATGACCCCCGGTCAATATTCTACGGCGAAAAATGACCCCCGGTCATTATTCAACGTCGAAAAATGACCCTTTTGCCCGTAGAAAAAGGGTCACCACCCTAAAAATTTGCAGAACCCACGTGAAGAAAAATGACCCCGTAGAAAAATGACTCCCTGTGGATTAAAGCTAAAAAATTTTAGGGGGCAAAAAAAAAAAAATAGATAAAGAAGCCTGTTGGCCAAAATGCTCACCTAAGCTAATTGGGAAATAAATTGATGATATGTTGATCTCATAACATTATACAATTAAAGCTATATTTTAAGGTCAATGCGATGATTCAGAATCTAAAGGAGTAAAAGATTTATCGAGGCTTAAGGGTTAGGTAAACATTTGTTTTTCGATGGTGGAAATCATCGTACTGACAGAAAAAAATCAGCAGTATTATATATTATTATATCCTCCGCTTGAAACAAAGGTTAAGGTACGACCCATGACGGTTTTTTATGTGTAATGTGCCATACATTTTAGTTGTTGGTTGATGATTACAGTCTATGGTTATTCTAGTTTGTCGGACATTTTAGATACTAGTTGGCCATCAGAATCTATAGTTAGTAAAACTCGTTTAAAGTCAGTATTTTGTAAATTCTATTGTTGTTATATATACCCTATTAGCAAATATAACCAATAGCCGGTGTAAAGACGAATAATGACCCCCATCGAATAATGACCGGGGGTCATTTTTCGACAGCGAAAAATGACCCCCGGTCAATATTCTACGGCGAAAAATCATTATTCAACGTCGAAAAATGACCCTTTTGCCCGTAGAAAAAGGGTCACCACCCTAAAAATTTGCAGAACCCACGTGAAGAAAAATGACCCCGTAGAAAAATGACTCCCTGTGGATTAAAGCTAAAAAATTTTAGGGGGCAAAAAAAAAAAAAAATAGATAAAGAAGCCTGTTGGCCAAAATGCTCACCTAAGCTAATTGGGAAATAAATTGATGATATGTTGATCTCATAACATTATACAATTAAAGCTATATTTTAAGGTCAATGCGATGATTCAGAATCTAAAGGAGTAAAAGATTTATCGAGGCTTAAGGGTTAGGTAAACATTTGTTTTTCGATGGTGGAAATCATCGTACTGACAGAAAAATCAGCAGTATTATATATTATTATATCCTCCTCTTGAAAAGCGGGAGGGTATATAGTGATCGGGATGTCCGTCTGTTACGCTTTGGGGTATCCATCTCTTATCCGCAACTCCTCTTATATATAAAAATATGTGTTTGTGAAACAGCTATGCCCCTGTATAGCAACATAGCGAAGATCAAGCTTTTCTTAAATAAAGTTTAAATATGTTGGTACCCAAAGTAGGGTCTTCTCACAAGAAAAATAATTGCAAAAATAGGAAAGCCCTAGCACCACTTGTTCAAAAGTAATGGCTAAGGATAAGTTTTTGAAAGGTAGGTCAAACTCAAAGGTCAAAGGGTCAAAGTTGATGGTTTCTTAAGAAAGGTTTAATGTAGCAAGTATTACCTGTGTGAAGTATGAAAACCCTAGCCTTTACCGTTCAAAAGTTATGGCCAAGGTTAAAGTTTTCTTTCTTAAGTACGGAAATCTCCAAGGTCAAAGTTTTTAGTATCCAATGAAAGGCCATGCCAAACAAAATACATATGTGAAGTATGAGAGCACTAGTATCTACCGTGTAAAAGTTATGGCCAAAGTAAAAATTTGGTATTTTTGTGCAAAATGGGACAAATTCCAAGGTAAAGGTCAAAAGGTCAAATTTGGTGGTACCCAAAGTAAGGTCTTGCCACAAGGAATACACATATTAAATATGAAAATCATAGCTCCAATAAATGAAAATTTATGGTCAAGGTTAAAGTTTTTGCGGACAAACAGACTGCCAGATAGACAGCTAGACATACAGACGGACACGATAAAACTATATACCCCCGAATCTTCGATTACGGGGACATAAAAAGAAATGAAATTAACTTTTCATATTATGATACAGTATATAATATAATATAATAATATAATATCATAAATTTCTATAGCGCCCTATAAAATAAAAATATCACCCTTTACATAGCATGTACATAAAACATTGCAAAAATTATTATCACTTTAAAAAATGAAATTATCCTTATATTGAGAATGACTTGTTTTGGTAAAAAAGATTTAAAAAAAAATACAGTTACGATGAATTAAAAATCTAATGGTTAAGAAAAACAAATAAAAATCACTAGATAGATAAATCTAAAAAGTTAATCAAAAGCTAATTTATAAAAATGGGTTTTCAGAATTAAAGAAGACGTTACAAAAATGAAAATGTTTGTTCTGATTTTAATATTAAATTCTCTGAAAAATATACTCAGAACTGAGTAAAAGGGTGGAGTAAAACAAGAATTAAGAAATGTAATGAATACTGTGTGCTTAATCAAAAGTTTATGTCTACATGTATAGTTTTTGCATTAGAATATGTATTTTACACTAGCCCATAGCTTTACAGAGCATATTTTTAGGTGTTATACCCACCCCACCCCCTTACTTATTTAGGAGAAAGTCGATTATCGACAAAAGCAACAAAAAACTACCCTACCTTTATTTTTCTATAAGGAGGGACTAAAAATAAGCTTAAAATAATCTACTATTCTACTAATTTTCAACTGTTACTTTGCCACAATACTTTCAAGTATGCCCCCACCAATATTTAAAGTAAGCTTTAATCATGGCGAATTAATTATGATATGATAGTACTTAATTGAAGGCTTAACTTCATTTCAATATTTTATCTAGAGCCTCTTTCGGTATTATTGAAAGGTATAGAGTTTTATTTATATTTTTGCTTTTCATTTATTTTTTTGTTTTGTTTTGATTTAACTTAATGTTCTTTTTTTTGGGGGGGGGGATAAAAATTTCCTCCTCTTTCATTGTCAAATAGGATTTGCCAAACTTATACAAGTTAAAAGTTGAAATGAAGGAAAAATTAATTTTTCCTATTAAAGAGTATTTAATTAAACTTGATTGTTGCATGGTTTGATTTCTAAAAACAAGTGAAATATTATTCTTCAAGCAAACAATATAAGGAGGAATATTAAAAAGAAATTTTATTTACTTGGCAATTAAAGAATCTCTTTTCAAACACAATTTAAGCATTGAAAGATTACGTGAATCTCTTAATTATTTCATACGACTTTTTGTATTTTTCTGGTTACAGAAAATGTAAAAATTATTTTCGCTGTAAAAAAGATATCAAAGTGTGTATATTGTGAAAAAAAATATTATAAACTTTATTTCTTAATAAAGTTTATGAATACATTTAAAATTATGGATCAAATCTATTCGAACAAATGCAGGAATTACTCGAAGGAAGAACAATTATAATATACAGCATATTTTTCCCTTTCACCTGTTATAAATTTTATATCACTTTAAAGGGAGTCATTTTTCAATGGGGGTCATTTTTTTATAGGACTAACATATAAAATAATGACCCCTAGGACTCTTTTTCAACAAAAAATGATTTTTTTTCTACGGGTGGGGGTCGTTTTTTGTCGTTGAAAAATGACCCCCCGTTTATTATTCGATGGGGATCATTATTCGTCTTTACACCGGTCGTATTTTACCTGATTTGTTTCATACTTATCGTAAAACCTTTCTGTGTGTATTAAATTTGACTAGGGAAAGTCACCTGATTCCACCTCTCCAATAGCCATGGCTCCGTGTTTTATGCCCTTTTCACAGAATGTACTTTTTTATGTTTTTTGAGCCCCATCACTGCTCGTTATCGTCATTACCTTTTCCCTATGAATTTCTTTCTCTACTTTTGTGTGCATGTGTGTGAGGGAGGATGTGTGTGTTTTTGTACCTGGCTCCAACGTTTACGATTCCTTATTTTAGTTTTGTCTTTAAGGTGCACCACAAGTTTCTGCGATGTTAGTAGCTCCCACTCGAATCTAGCGCCATAAGGCGTCTCATATCGCTTTACTTCGTCTAACTCGAATCCACCGTATATTGATCTGAAATTTAATAATAAATGTAAGTGGCTAATACGCTGTCGTCCTCATTATTGGTTGTAGCGTTCTAAACGTTGTCATTGAAGAGATTTTGTGTCAATTTATATCAATAAACTTACTTTGCTGTTTTTGGTATTACACTTTCAAGTGTCTTGACATAATCATTAACTTCTATGCCTTTCAGTTGTTTAGTACCAGTTTTGTTCATCCGGGGTTTGAAAGCGTCATCGAAGAAGATGTGTACTAGAGAAAATTTTAAACGGATGAATGTCGTATATGATTTGATATATTTCATTGAATTTTACTGCTGATGATTTTTTTCTCTTAACATATAAATGTAATATTTTACCTTCAAATTGATAAACGTCTTCGTTAATATACGACTTTTTCTTCGCTTTTAGAGTTTTTTCGTGCTCTTTTTGAATAAATTGTTCATAATCAACCCTGCAAATATGTAGAAATTTTACATGTGTAGAACTACTCTAATTTAACACAAAATTTGATTTTTTTTCTGTTACCTTGACCAAAAAACTCACTTAAAGATTGATTTCAGTAGCTGCGTCATTTCAGTTTCAGTCTCGTGCCACATGGTTGCACAAAAATACACAAATGGCCTATAGTATTTTTCACTGTCGATAGAGCCTGTAGATTTTTCTGCTTCCTGTAAACAGTATCTTTATCAAAATCTTATCTGGAAAAAAAAGACAATTTTTGTACCAGCCTTAAATAATGAGGACTAACCTCGCTTTTTTCCTCCCCTCTCTGTTCCGTTGTGTCTTTACACCTCGTTAAAAGTAAAGAAGTATTTAGAAATATTCCACAGTACGGCGGTTTCCGGAATAATCTACAAAATTGCAAACATTAATATATACATAAGATCATGCTACCGTTTTGTAATATAATATAACAATATAAATGAAAGTTATTAAGACCCTAGACATAAACATTGTATTTTGTAGTCTTACCTGTCGCACTTAACTAGCTTGGATCCATTGTTTGTCCAAACGTATAAAGTAAGCAGAATGCATGCAACAAATCCAAAACACCCAGACACAATCAACTGCCATATGTCTTTAATGAATGTCCCTCTTAACTCCCATAAAGGTTGCACAATGTTACAGTCCTGGGTAGTCCAGAACAAGGGATGCTTCATAACTGGTATAATCAAAAGAGGGGTACCCAGCCAACTTAACACGAGAGGAGAAGAAAAACAAACGTACTGAAGATTGACTCTACATGCAAATCGTGCACTTTTAAATCCAACAAAGCCGAGAACAACACATATTATTATAAGAGCATCCAAATCATGTCTTCCACAACCATAAGGGAAATACGACCTGGATTCAAGAATAACTTTACCCGTCAAGGTTTTTACTTTGGAAGTCCCAAATAGAGAAATGGCTTTAGCTGTGTCGTAGGCAGTCGAATCATCGGTCGACATTATTGAAAAAATGATATATGGAAACGAAATAGACAAAACCACTTTCCATAGAGCTGTGAAAAGCGATACCAGTTCTCTTTTAGACCGGATATATTCCATGAGAAAAGTTTTGAGCCTTGATTTTATACTTTTTAGCTGATTTGTATCTTTTTCGAGAGTTATTGTGGAACTAAACATTAGAAAATTTTCCCAATAGGTTATGGAAACCAGTACCAATGAAATTATTAAAAGACAAAAAATTAACGCAAAATTTTCCTCTCCTGAATTTTTATAAATATACCACCCTGCAAAACCCAATGAAATGAGAAAAAAGACAAATCCAACTTTTTGTGTAATATTGAAGACAACGTCATAAAACTTGGTGTCATCTTCATTTTTACTTACTGGCAACTCTTTTTCTTTTTCATTACCAGATACATTTCTACTTTCTTGCACATCTTTTTCAATATCAGGCTCATTTTTACTTTCTTTCGAGTCTTTTTCTTTTTCTGGCACATCTTTTTCAATATCAGACTCATTTTTACTTTCTTTCGAGTCCTTTCCTTTTTCACTACTAGAAGAATTTTTTATCCTCGGACAATTCTTTTTTATATCAGAATCGTTTTTACTTTCTTGCAACTTTTTTTCAATATCAATATCTTTTTTCCTTTCTGTCGATTCTGTTTTTTCAATACAAGAACTATTGGCCACTTTTTGTGTCATGGTTTTTATATCCATTCCAGAGAATTTGAGGTCACAAAACAAACTAAAAACTACTGGAAAAAAAATGATGAGGCAAGACAAAATAGAAGCAGTGATTGGGTCAAACGCGGGAAGCACAAGAAAAACCAGAAGACAAAGACCCGTTGTATGAAGTGTCTCCACCACTAGACTCTGAAAGATATTAAGGGATAATAAAAGAAAATTATTAATTTATCTTACAATTGTGATTTTTCTTTCTGTTTTGTAGCAACTCGGACAACTTAACTAACGATTAGTTGTGAAAAATGTGTATGATTTAAAACGGAACAAAACCTACCAATATTAACCTTTTGAAGTCACATTTTTGAGTTTCCTTAAAACAGAGTCTCCACAGTGAAAGAATAATTGTGTAAATGTCTGGAACCACCATAACAATAACGAGACCCCAAATCCACATCACATTCACCGACGGTGTTTCTTCCAACAACTGACATAAATGACGACTTACTGGAACGCATTCCCAAGTTGTTGGAAAATCCTCTCTTTGAAGAAATGAAGAAGCACAGTCAGTGTTATTGGAGTTTTGAGTGCAGTTATATTTAAGGTAAGTTCTCTCTTCAACAAGACGAAGAAGACCGCCCATTTTATCTATAGTTGTGGTTGAGTTAGCTTGTGGTGGATTCAGCTTCCAGATCATTAAATGGATAATAATTCTTGTTAATCCTGTTGATACCAGAACGATGAAAAACAGGGTGATACTGAATAAAATAACACCTATCTTTGTAAAAATGTTCCAACACGTGTCTGAATCATCAGAACTTATTGGCGGTGTTTCATCTACTAAATCCCAGTATTCATTCCTACAACAGTATTTTATAAACAAAATCCATCACAAAATTAAAATATTTAATGTACATAATGATGGAAAAACTCATTGACATTTTTAAAGAAAAAATTTAACTTTTGGATAATTCCTTCAATTATAACCAAACACTTATAAACCTTAATGATCTTTTTATGGTAGATGTATAGTTATTCTGAATGGTAAGCCTTTTCGATAATCTACATACTGTTCGTTTTCAGGCTGTTTCTTCGTTTCTCCGGATTTCTTTATCTTCTTTTCACTTTCAGATTTGTGAGGAACTTTACCATTACTGCTAGAACTGTAAGATATTATATCTGTTACACATGTGCTATGAAACAATTAAAAACTGAATAAATGAAATATTTATGGTTCAGAACCACCAAATAGTGCTAAGGTTCACTTATTTTATACCAAAAAAATGCATTAAAACATCGTAAGCTTTGTCAGCAATTTTGAATTGTAAAGACAAGGTCGTATCTTCGATGGGTTTTAAGGCGGAAGTTTAAATCCAAAATTCCTTATAAATTGACCTTCTTTTAAAGTTCTTACAACCAATCACGTCTCTTTGGTTTCATTGGCACATTACAAAGTAATCTACATGCTAATCTGACAATTCGTACACTGCAATTATCTGTCTATTTTGCATATATATGATTCCTCCTTAAATACTAATTTCTTTGGTCGACTTTGTTTCAGGATAGAAGATATATGTACGTAATCGAATATCAAGATTATGTTCAAAGATCTTTACTGCAACGCCAGTTTAAACAATGAAGTAAATATAAAAGGCTATTATAAAAATATATTAATTCAAACGACCAGAAACCCTCGAAAACTAGTAATTATTTGGATAGGTATTATCCACATAATTGTTTAGAATGGTATATACTTATACGTTCTTGACTTTTTAAAAATACAATATATTATGCGAATTATTTGCATCCCTTCAACGCACCCCCTTTTAAAAGAACGATTTATCCATGCTTTTTTCTTAAGTTACAATTTTAGCTTCTACATACGTAGTCTAAACACAACCCTTTCCCAATCCCAATTACAACTGAACATACAAAAAATCGTGGTGTCTGAAAAACAAAGTTTGGAACACTGAAGTAATCAAACAATATCTGCATATTATGTTTGAGGTATTGAAAAAGGTATGATATGCTCAAAGATTTTCAAAGCATGATAGTAAAATTAATCTTTTCGAATCTTTTCATTACATTTACATGGACTAGGAGGAGTACATATATCTAGTAAATATATCTGACATTAAAAGTTCTACATTCATTACATATCGGTATATAAATTATATATACATGTATATTATCGAGAAATTTCGTTTTATAATGTTAATTAGTTATAATTTGTTGCAAAAAAAAATCATTGAGTTTTATTACTAACTCAAAATACCTACCTCTGACTTTCTTGTACAACTTGACCTGGTATCGTTGTTTCCTCGCCATTTTCTGACTTTTTGCCTTTGCTCTCCATAATTGATTAGATTATAATATTTACACCAAAGCCCCGCGGTTCTATAGACTCTGCACTGCACTTGTTTACAGCATAGTTGTTAGAGCGACGAAATAATGTATGCTGGGATTTTAAACATGCGTATTCTTTTAGTTAAATTTAAATATTTGACAAGTATTGAAACTGTTCTGTAATATGATCTTTTGAACACTTTTTTAAAAATAATTGAGTAAAGTAGACCCCCCATTGTTTATGCATTTCAATAGATATTTGGAACCATTTGGGTAGAAAATTTACAAGAGAACTAAATAAAATTGCTTCAATGCACTCATGCTTATTCTTTATGCAAAAATAAATTAAACTTCTGGAACAGTTTGTTTTATTTTCGAGTCCATATCAACTTGAAGATCGCAAGTAATTACTAGTTTAATATTGAAAATCGAAATGTGAAAGACCTATTATACAAAGAAAAAAAGGCCCACAGGCCATAAAGGTCACCTTTGTATCAATGCAACAACTTAAAAAACAATTAATTTTTGGTTCGTGTGTGAAATCAATGATCATGAAATTTGAAAGATCACAATTGCTCATCATAAATATACACTTAACATACTTACTTTGATAACTTAATACCTAGAGGCAGATTGAGCAGAGAAACGAAGGAGAAATGCATTTCCACTTTATAAACAATAGTGCCCCGCCCCATATTATCCCCTGACCATTGCACATTATAAACCTTTGCAAAGAGCAGATTTCAAATCATAAATCAACATCAGTATATAACCATTAGAGCCCCCAACCTTAATAGACCCTAGGGTCATGAAATTCACATCTCTGTAGGAGCACCCTTGCTAATCATAACTACGATGTAATTAGATCATAAAGTAATGTGATCATCTGCATTATACCCAGGAGCAGAGGAGAAGATTTTCAATGAAACATATGGAGATAACGAACAGTATTCAAAATCAAAAGTCCCTAAAACAATACAAAATAAGAATTAATGCATTTTCACTACATAACAATAAACCCCGCCTTAACACATGTGCTCCTATCCAAGGGGTCATAAAATTCACAATTTTAGAAAATCGACACCCCTCCTCATCATAACTATGTACATAGCAAAAACAATGTACAACAAAAGGAGAAGTAATTAAGGTATGTCACTCGTGAAAATTGTTATATCAAAGAATTTTTTGAGAAGTATATTTTGAATAAGTACTCAAATAGTAAGACTCAAAACCGCAGAGGAAATAGGGGATCAGTGTGCACATAGCTTAGCGACGGTACAATTAAGATTACCATTTTGCACTTAAATTTTTATTCTTTTATTAATTACTTTAACCTTTGTCATATTTTATCAGATGTAACAATGGCAATGAATATAATCTTACTTTACATGAAATAGTTTGAATAATATTTATCATTGAATAAATATTGCAAATTAATGTGACCTTCTTGCACTATTTGGGATATTAAAAATCTAAATTTGAAATAAAATATTTTCTTGTATCAAACTTTTTACGACTTAAGTGCTGATCAGTCACAAGTATTAAGTACTTTCAAATAATGAAAGAAAAAGTAGGGGTCAGTGATGTAAATTTTTAAATAATGGTCATTATATGCGATTTTCAGGCGAAAAATTGTGTAATTTTTATCTTGACTTCCTTAACATATTTTTTTTCTTGGCAAAGTTTGTTGAGGGAAGGTGAAAAATTTATGCTAAAAATATAAATTGAGACCCGCATATTTAATATTTCTAGCATATCATAACGAAAAACTTTCTCCGAGTAAAAGTTGTGAGGCTAAAGATACAAGATATTAAATTCTAAAAATATGCAGATTTGCAGATTTTTTTTTGCTAAATATCCTTCCACCACAAGAAATAGTCCTATAAATCATACTTCTTTGTGATTTTTAGAGCAGTTTTTTCATTGAATATTGAAAATTTTACATTTATTGTTTGAATAAAATGTTTTGAAATTTTTGAATTAAAATAATTTTCAAGTTATAGGTTCTGGCAAAATTTCTCTAAAATGCTGACGAGTGACATACCTTAAAAATGACTGAAAAGAAAAAAAATTGTCCCCGACATGATTCAAACCGGGGCCTCTGGATCATAGGGCGAACGGTATAACTGCTATGCTATCGACGCTGTTGAAATTTAAGGGAAATATAATACCTTTAATATATATTATAGTATTTTAAATAAAATTTGTTTGGTACAAGTATTTTTCAGTGTTTGTATTTATTGATCAATCATCGATTATATAAATAGTTATAATTATAAATTATTTTTTAAGTTATATCATATTTCACATGGCTGCAATTCAGCTAACCTGGACAAAGACAAGTAAGCTTTTACATGTACAAGAATAATTTTCAACCACTTGCGAAACAATCAATGTGTCACATTTTTGAGTTTGTTTGTGAAAGGACTGAATAAATTTCATCCAAATGGTGCTGGCCTCTTTTCCTTTCAAAGATGGATGCCTCTTGCATAGGTAAGGTGAGATCCAGCAATTAATTTTAAGCCTTGGGTCAGGGAAGATTCAAATAATGTTGTCTGGGGAAAGATATTCAAAAGGTGTGCTCAAAGAAAAGCGATCGAGATTTATATAAATTGCTTTGGATAAAAGGGTTTTAAGATACAGTGGATACTACAGTAAAATATGCCTGGCTATGGAGATATTCAAATTACGTACTTACTTTCAAGTTAGGAAATTAATTAATGTGCTCTGGGAAAGAAAAGACTTATATAGTAATGTCTTATGGTCAAAGGAGGTTCAAATAAGAGAAGAGATTCCATGATAGATTATGAGAAAAGAAGATTCAAATACATTCTTGAGAATTCGTGACTTCAAGAATATACCCTGGTTCATATGAGGTTTCCTGGAAAAGAGGAGATTCGATGAAGAGGAAACTCAAATAACGTCGTCATTTGTGATCGCTATGCCTGGGAAAGGAGACATTCGAAAGGTGTCCTCTTGGGAGGGAAAGTCTACATTTATCTTTACATGTATATTCAGTTGTACTCTTTAATGTCAGAGTATCTTGACACCAGGGAAAACACTTTTTTTCTGATGAAGCAAATTTTATCGAGTACATGTACAAAACTGCACATTATATACTACTGTAAACCAACTTTTATTCGCGTGCGAGAAATTTTCGCGAAGTTCGCGAAAGCCTCGTCGTCGCGAATATTTCTTGCCGCGAACCGGTCATTATAGTCTATGTATCTATTAACAAGAGAACCTAAATAGGCGTGATCGCGAAAATTAATCGTCGCGAACTAGTTTACACCTGGTAAATCGCGAAATAAAGTCGTCGCGAATAAAAGTTGGTTTACAGTATGTAAAACATATTTGTGCAATACTAGTATAAATCGCTTTAATAACTGCTAAAACGTACAATGGCTTAAGTTTTCAATAAAGAGGACATTATTCACTAAAGATTATTATATAAAATACTGAGAGGACAGTTTATTTTATTGGAGATTTTCATTAAAAGTATAGTAGCATTCAAAAATATTGATTATATCAGATGTATAACAATTTTAAATTTTATGAGTGAAACAAAATACTGAATATGTTTGCGCATTTTTGGAGACAACCCCTAAATATTTTTCAATCAATGGATTCTAGACCCCCACTAAAATGCGTCATATTATTCAATCATTTTCTGCATGGGGGATACCATGTCAAAATATTTTTTGATAGTATGTGCATCTGATATTTTTTTAAAACTTCAAATTCTAGATTAAATTTGACATCAAATTTGTAATTTACTGTCACGTAATAAAATTCTCAAAGTGAGATGAAATTTAAATGTCATAATATAGGCCATTCGTTTTAACACGTTCAAATTATAAATGCTATTCTTTAGCTCCTTTTTCCTCTTTTTCTATTGAGATTGGTCTGCACACAGTAATTGTAATAAATATAAAAAATCAAAAATTGTTGAATTATGAATTTTTCAATGAATTATAAAGAGTTGACATGCAACGGGAACAAAAGTGCTTTAATGTCATAGACTGAGTTTTAATTACCAAAGTAAAACAAAACATATATAAACAACCAATCTGCATTCCTTTTTAAACCATCAATGGAAAAACAAAAAACTACAAATACTTATGTATACGTGCGTTTTCCTACTGCTACATATATTAGAAAACTAATTATTTTTAAAAATTTCCAACTAAAATATTCCATCCCTTAATTCATTCATGGGAGGATCCAGGATTCCTTGTATCCAGGGGCGGAGATGTAACCTCTAGGAAATTCTGCATGCCCCTAACACTCAGTTTCTTAACATGTTTATCTGGAAAGCGATTGAGAATCTCCTCCTCCTCACTGTCCTCGCCAATCGTTTCTAACTTGCTTTCGATGTTCTTTCTAAGGTCAACAATGGTTCGTTGTTTCAATGCAATTTGTCCGGAAAGAATTTGAAGCCCGACTCCTGCTTTAAGTATTTTCCATTTGGACGATTTTTGAGTACTGATATCTTCCTTTTCCTTCTTTTCCTCTCTTTCTTCAGCAGCTACTAGTTTCTTTAATTTCTTGATCGGAATTTTCGTGTCCAATTTTTTATCAAAGATTTTTGTTCTAGCTACTATATGAGAAATTGTTGACACACGGTGTGTTAACATTCCAAAAAATTGCATTAAAAGGAGAATACCAAAGACAAGCGTAAAAGCGATAGAGATGGGTTCGATCACGCCTTGAGTTTCACCAACACTGCATGGTAGAGGGATTGAAAGTGTGTTCTGATAAGCATTTACTTGAGTGAGAACATAAACAATTGTAACAAAGATGGCATTTGTTATAAAATAAAAGAAAAACACCTTGTTTCTCAGATCAATTAGTTCAGCTTGTATTTTAGCCTTTTCCTCTTTATTCTCGTTCAGAGGTTTGAGGTATTTTTTGATAAATTTTCTCCAAAAATCCTCTTCATCATTTTCAATGGCAATGCATTCTTTGTAAATACCACGTTTTTGGTTTCCCTTTTGTCCTGAAGAGGAA